CTCCGAATGAACAGATTTCTAAATGCCAGATACTGGAGACAAACAAGGCACAGCTATCTTCACTATGCCTTCTCTTTCATCTACAACCTTGGATTCCTTCCTCTTTTTTCCTCCCAATATGTGGGTTGTGGCCTCACAAACAACCACCACCACCACCACCCCGCTCAAATATTCTCTCAGCCATGGATGCTCTCTTGGGCTTGGAAGCGACCTTGGATGGTCACTCTCTTTCAGCCTAATCCACCTCACAGTTGTTCTGAGGACAAAATAGAGAAAAATGATGTAAGATGCTCTCATTAACTTTAAAGAAAAAGACGGGTACCCATTTTTGCCTGTCTATTTTCTTTAAAGGTCTATATACCAATGTGGGAAACCCAATCTGATTTGCAAAATAGGGTTGCCAAATGGCACTTACCCTTGTGGTGGGGGACTACAGCCCGGCTCCCGGTGTGCGTGCGTGCACGCAAAGCACACGCGCGCCGCATGCACGTCACAGGGAAGTGACGTCATGACGCTGGGGATGCTGGGGGGGGGGCACTGCCCGTCTCCTGGGAGGAGACAGCATCTGTGGCTGTGGCCCCGCCCCCAGCATCATGACGTCACTTCCCTGTGAAGTGCATGCGGGGGTGGGGTTTCCCCCGGGGCCCGATTCCGCCGCGGTGGAAATCGGACCTCCAAAGCGGGGGTTTCCCCGCCCCGATTTGGCAGCCCTATTGCAAAACCATGTGGAGATTACAAGCTTAAACCCTCTCCCTCCTCCCCAGATGACCTCAGTCAGAATCAGAATGCGACACAGCTGGCTGGGAAGATCTGATCATGGGTCTTCCAGAATCTCACCTGCTCTGCCTCTGAATCGATCAGTCACTTGATCTGAAACAAAGCTCTTCACAACCTACTTTGGACTTTACTACTTTGAACGACATCGCACAATCTGCAAACTCAATTTCTCGCCATTTCATTTCTGCTTCTGAATCATTGAAAAATAAAGTCCATGCATTGTTAAAAAAAAAATGCTGCCAGTTTCCTGTACGCAGCGTAAGTCTCTTACACCCTCTTTATAATGTTGCGGTATCAAAGTCTAACCGGAATGAAGTTGGGATTCCCCCCCTTTTTTTCCTCATCAGGAAATGATCATTTTCAACTAAAGTGAACTTGGGTTTAAGCTTAAAGGTAATTTTGCAAATGTATGTATGATCATCTCTTGGGGTTTTAGAGGGTTTTCTTTACTTTCTCCCTTAGATTGTAGTTTCCCTTTCCTAATTTTCTGTTTGTAGTTATTAGAAAAGCAATTAAAAAAAATCCCCCTTGGGGGGGCCAAAAAAAAGAAGGAAATCCTGTAGGGGGAAAAGGATTGTATAAAAAGCTTATGTTTAGCCACATATGACAAATCAATCCCTTTTAGATTGCCTCAGTGTTGGTCTTCTCCAACGGTAGCAATGTTGTAGAATGTCCAGTCTTCTTCAGCATTATCGCCATCTCTAAATTATTAAAGAGTTGGAGCCAGTTTGGTGTAGTGGTTAAGTGCGCGGACTCTAATCTGGGAGAACCGGGTTTGATTCCCCACTCCTCCACTTGTACCTGACTGGATGACCTTGGGCAAGCCGTGGTTCTGATAAGAGCTGTTCTCGAAAAAGAGCAGTTTCTGTCAAGAGCTCTCTCAGCCCCGCCTACCTCACAGGGTGTCTGTTGTGGGGAGGGGAAGAGAAAGGAGTTTGTAAACTGCTCTGAGACTCCCTTGGGTAGTGAAGGGCGGGGTATAAATCCAATCTCCTCTTCTTCTTCTTTTACCTCACAGGGTGTCTGTTGTGGGGAGGGGGAGGGAAAGGAGTTTGTAAGCCGCTCTGAGACACCTTTGGGTAGTGAAGGGCGGGGTATAAATCCAATCTCTTCCTCTTATTCTAGTCCTGCAGCTGAGGAATAGCTTTGTCAGAGACTGGATAAACAAGCCCTGCAAGAAGAATGTCCTTGCATGTTGAGCACATGGCCTTTAAGATGGGGAAGGGGAAATCAAAAGTTTTGAGGGAGAGAGCTTTTTCAAACACAGGAACAAGAGAATCACGATCTCAGAATGGCAACAGGGAGATCTGAGATGCTTTGGATCATGTCTTAGGCACCTGCAATTAGCATCTGAGACACCCCTCAATCTTCTCTACAGGAAAGGGCATCTACTGGAAATTACCAATTAGTTGGATCCCAGTTAAGAGTGGCAGTAAATGCCCCTTGCAGCAGCAACATCAGCTGGCTTGTTCAGCCATGATCTTCTACTGCAGTTGCTGAATCAGGGGTCCCCAACTTTTTTTGAGCCTGTGGGCACCTTTGGGATTCTGAGAGGGAGCGGTGAGAGCCATCCCAAAATGGCTGCCACAGGAGGTAAAGCCAAACCCAAAATGGTTGCTGCAGGGGGCTAAAGAAGGAAAGCAAATGCACTCCCATTACTTCCTTAAGGTTTGTGGAGCGAATATGAGGCAATATCAATATGAAGCAAAATGAATGTTAGCTGTTGTAGATTTTCCGGGTTGTATGGCCATGTTCTTGGCATTGTAGGACCTGATGTTTCGCCAGTAGCTGTGACTAGCATTCTCAGAGGTATAACACAGAAAGATGGAGTACTCTCTGTGTCAAAGTGAGAAGAAAAATGGTAGGCAGATAATTTATATCTACTCAGGAACGTGGGTTAGAGCCGAGTCATTATCTTGTAGGAGTTCCCCAGGCTGTGAACATGCTAATGGAGGAGCTTTCCTGAGGAGGTTCTTTTGTATATGGATTGTTTCCTGAGGTTCTTTTGCATGTGGATTGGCTGTTGAAATTCTAATCTTATCTGTAGCGCTATTGTCAGATTTTTTGGTGTGTTTTTCAGGACAGGAAAGCATGCCCTATTTATTTTTAAACTCTCTTCTTTCCTGTTGAAATTGTGTTTGTGTTTATGAATTTCAATGGCTTCCCTGTGTAATCTGACATGGTAATTGGAAGTGTTGTCCAGCCTTTCAGTGTCTTGGAACAAAATACTGTGTCCCAAAACGGTCCGTGTGAGTTGGTTTTGTGTAGACCTTGTGACCTAATTGAAGGTTAGCTTTGCGGATGACCATGATATCTAGAAATGAGAGTTTACCCTCGATTTCTTTTTCCATGGTGAATTGTATGTTCAGGTGAATGTTGTTGAGGTGGTCTAAAAATGCCATAAATTCTACTTCTCCATGGCTCCAAATGATAAAGGTATCATCTACATACTCGTCAGTTTTGATGTGGTATCCCTTTTTAGCAAGGTTCTGGCAAAAGACACATTCGTGCTTGTTAATCAGATTTTTCCGGATGACATAACAGCCTTATTCCACCATTGTTTGACAATCAGTTACTTCCAATGGGATAACAAATTCAATGAACAGATGGATGGGGTTGCTATGGGAAGCCCTCTCAGCCCAGTTATAGCAAACTTCTACATGGAACGTTTTGAAAAAACAGCTTTAAAGCAATGGAGACACGAGGGAAAAATAAACTTTAAAAAAGAAGGAAGCAGAAGGAGTGGGTAGACTGTTGCTTTTGGGGATCTGCTCCACCAGAGTTCATGAACTTTGAATGAAAATCTTCAGCTCAACCTCCAGTAATAGGAGAAAGGGATGGAGCTGTGGGAACACAATTCTCCTTACTTATTTATCCATGGAAGGGCAGGTGGGAGTTAATAAACTTGCTGCTGCCATTTCACTACCTGTGGGAACCCACCTTATTTCCAGAGTTTAAACTGGCAGCATCTGTTCAGTATGTAAGGGAGGTTAAAATGGGGTGTTTCACCAATTCCGTATCACTAGCACTGGAAAAGCTAAATTAGAGATGCACCAAACACAGTCAGCTGACCGTGAAACTGAGCAAACACCAGAACTGAATTTGAGGTCACATCACATGCTGTCATAATATTCTAATATGTTCCAGTCCCCAAAGTATGTTCATGATCCAAAGATTTCAGGATACCATTTTCTGGCCCCCCCAATTCCAGATTTTATAAATCTGGATATTGAGACACACATATAATACACACAAATATGCATTGCAAGGCCACCTCTGCTATTTGAAGGTTAGAGCCTAACCTCAAACTTCTAAACGAGGAATGGACAGAAATATATTTATTTATTTAATTTATACCCCGCCCTCCCCGCGAGCAGGCTGTATTATTATCTGCTGTATTATTACGGTAGGAATCGCCACATCCAATTACTATACCAAGTGGTCAGAAAGAACAAACTGTCTATAGCTACAGAAGATCTGCCATTTTGTTACAAACATGGAAATGAATATGGGCCACCAAACTCAGCAACAAGCAGCACTGATATTGCCTTGACACATCAAATGAGTGAAGGGTCAGTTCATGGAAACCAGAGGACATCTTTTGCTGAACAACAACCCCCCTCCCCCGCAAACACACACACACACATCCAAAACCAGAACCAGGACACTGCAAATGGTTCGAGGACTCCCTATCTGTAGGCCACTTTCATGTACATATGCTCAGCATCTGGTAAGCATATCACCAGTACCTATTAACAGATACTTAGTATTTGAGAACTGCCCCATCCATAAAATTCACTCAAGCCAGCTTTGCATAAAAGGTTGGGCAATACAAACACAGCACTAGACATTATTATCTGTAAACAGAACACACCCTAGTGGCATTCAGTTTAGAGTACCACCCTTAGTGTTTGCTGGTTAGTTTTGCTTTAGTGATCTATTATCAAATCCTTGTTATGTGTAGTAATTAGTGGTGAGGAAAAAAATGAAGAACGCACGCAGTAACTCCATGGAGCACTTTGCCTGCTTCCCACAGAGCTGCAAGTCGATGTGCTCCTTCTGCTTGCTTTCTATAGCAACTAGAAATAGCTCCTTTCCGGTAACTCCGCTCCATGTGCTTCAAGGTTTCAAAGTCCCTCTTCTGCATGCAATGGTGATAGCATCTGAATTGTTTAACGGCAGACTGTACCCAGCAAACGCAGCCTGTGACAACTTGCCCGCCTTTCATGCCCCCTCCTGCAATTCGCTTAAAAGTAATCTCTTCTTCTGCTGTCATCACTAATGAAAGAAGGGTTGTATTGCCCCGGATAGATGCAGGAGTGTCGGGAACCTGGTAAACCAGTGTAAGGAGGATACAATCCATTTCTTTCTAGTTCAGGGTTCCGTAGGTTTGTTGGCTAGAATCACAGACAAACAGGAAGGAAAGAAAGAACGAATCAGTAAGCTCCATTTATCACTTATGTAGTATTAATACAAGATGTTGCTATTATGAAGTAAAAAAAAACCAAAGCATGGCAAAGAATCTCTCTGTTTCATCACAACAGTTGGTGCTTTACAGAGTAACTTTATCTCCATGCCGCCTTCGCTCTCACTCGCGCGCGACTCTGTCCTTATTGTCTCTAACCCAATTCAAAATCTTTGAATACCTGAACCTGGAAATGATGCAAATTTGATCCAACCCCGGGAAACATACTGTTCATGAATTGTTTGGCCATCTCCTCAGATATTATGCCAGGAGGCAAGCTTTGTCCTGACATTTTTATTTGCATAAATAAACAATAGGGATCTACAGTTCCAGGAAGCCAGAGCACTAGACACCAGTGTTCCCTCTAAGCCAAGACAGTGTGAGCTAGCTCACAGTTTGTTTTGCCACCGGCTCACGCATTTTTGTCTCCGCTCAGGAAGGAGGGCTCCAGAGCAAGCTAATGTATGCAGGAGCCAAATGACTTGCTCACAACTTTAATGCCAGTAGCTCACAAAGTAGAATTTTTGCTCACGAGACTCTACAGCTTAGAGGGAACATTGCTCCAGAGCCAACTAATTTAGGCAATAGCCAAATCCCTCGCTCACAGCTTTAATGCCAGGAGCTCACAGAGTAAAATGTTTGCTCGCAAGACCCTACAGCTTAGAGGGAGCATCGCTAGACACATACAAAATATAGCAGATCTGTTTTGTATTCCGGTCTGGTGCGTACCCAGGCACTACAGGTGGTGAACCCTTAGTGGTAGCTAATAAGGCAGGATCAGATAGGGAACACGAGCAGCACCCCATTCCTGCCTTTTGGGGGAAATTCTTAACCAAGTATATGTGAAGCCAGTGAGGTGATATAAGGACACCACCCTGTCCTGGAATAAGGAAACTGAAGCTTGGACAATGGCCGAGTTCAGACTGGCAGTTTGGCCCGACCTAGGCACGTTTCAGAAGGCACGTTTCACCTGTCTCGTAATGCGTCCCTCTCGAGTTTAAAAGATACCAGGTGAAAGTGGTATCAGACCCTGGAAAGTGCGATTATCCTGTGTCCATCACACACCAACAAAGTGTGAACGCCAAAAGCCGTGTTTTTTTCTTGTGCCCTTAAGCGCTTTTGCGCATATGCACAGAAGCGCTTATGCGTATAAGCGCATGTCTCCAGATTACCAAAAAGAAAGCCACGCCTTACAGAGCACATGCTATAAAGAGACTTTAAGGAGTCCTCCCTTTTGAAACTTTTATTTAACAGAGGAGGTCTATTATTAATTATAAGGTTGTACAACATCTTTTGAGGTTCTATGGAGATGATATTTGACATTTTTGAATTCTCTTATATTGTGAATTGTAATTAAGATGATTAATTATATATGAAGAAATTATTATAAAAATATTTTTCAAAAAATATAAAATTATTTATGACATGTTATAATCATCTGTGCACGGTATTTGTTGTATGTTGGTGCGTCCACCAGGGGCAGGCCAATGGTGTGAATGCTACCATGCGCCTCCTCCCCGGTATGCTCGGTGCAGTGTGACCAGGAAAACCCGGAACATTTTGTTCCTGCTCTTTTTTTGCCACGACTCCCTCCCGCTTCAAACTGCCAGTCTGAACTCAGCCAATGGGTGGAAGGCAGGACACTCAGGAGGCACTCTGAAAGAGTGGTTTGCTATTATTAGTAAGCCTCAGGAGGCTGTTAGATCCCAGAGACACAGGCCATTTGAACCAGGAAGGAAGTCCCTTTGGCTTCTTAGCCCAACTGAAGGTTGTGAACACGGCCAGGGAAGAATACTTCTTTGAGGCCAAGATGAGGTTCTGAGATTCCTGCGAAATGCTAGCGGCCACTTGACTGGGGGAGGTAATGGAGATCGTTCCAGGTACTCTCACAGCGGCCCTTCCTGTCGTGGTCTGCTGCTCAATGCAGGTAGGTGACCTTTGTAAACTGAATGCACACCTGTCCTCTTTAAAAGCAGTAACTTGATGTGTCCCCTTAGCGACTGCATCGGTACCATTGAACAAGAACAACAGAGCAAACAGAGGAGTCACGCTACACATTTCAGGGAAATATCACTAGTAGACTCTAGGGCACTTCTCCCCACATACAGATTTGTGTAGCCTAGTGGATGATTTACAGACGTGCACCATATAATTATGCCTCAATTACTGCCTCCCATAATTCTTGTTTTCTGTTAAAACACTGATCTGGAAGAATGGGAAGATGTATCTGTGCTTCCTGTACTTAAAAATGATCATGATTAGAGTTCTCGGATTGAAGCATAGTATACAGTGTCTCCAGATTTCCTGATAATATAAACAACAAAAAAAGCTCAGAAATCACTACCATATAATAAACATCCGTCATCTGTAATAGGTTTTTGGTGCTCCCATTCTCTTGCATTTCAATGGTTTCTCTCCCCCAGTCCTGAGCTCGAGGGGTTTTGGGGTATTCAGCATAAGGTGACATCTGGAAGTCTCCACTTTTGAAGATGAGCTTGCTTATGTCGTTTTTATTCTTCCTGGGAGGAAAGAAAAAGTACATCTAAAATTACAAGAGAGCAGATCCCAGGAAGGCTGTGGAAACTGTGAGCAGATGCCTAGAGGTGGTTTTGGAATGGATGAGAGCTAAGAAGCTGAAACTTAATCCTGACAAAACAGAGGTGCTACTGGTGACAGATCTACAGATCTAGTCTTGCAATCAGATCTAGTCTTGCAATCAGATCTGCTACAGATCTAGTCTTGCAGTCCGGAGCAAGAGAGAACAGATCTGCTCCATCTTCTACATGACAGCCCTTCACTTGAAGGTAGGCTTTAGAGCGTGGAGCTGAGGGATTGCTGCTTTGTTCTTTCATGTCCCTTTGTGCTTTTGAACTTCTATGTGAACCCATTGGGAGAGGTCATCCAGAGATGTGGGCTAAGTTGCCACTAGGGATGAAGTGGGAGGGTGTGAAAGCAATCACTGAAATGGCTCAACAAAGGGAAGGTTCCATTTAAAGAGAAGGTTCGTCGAAGTTCAGGTGAACTGGCGTGCTTGTGGTTCATGTGCCCTCACAAACCACAAACCAGGATGAACCTCCATTTTCCCAGTTCATGCCCATCCCTAGTTGCCACCAATTTGTGGAGGACATACAACTCTCTCATGCTTCCAGTAGATCCCAGGGAGGTTGTAGAAACCATCGACAGCTGTCTGGAGGTAATTTTGGGATGGATGAGGGCTAACAAGCTGAAACTTAATCCTAACAAAAAAAGTTGCTACTGGTGGGGAGTAGGTCAGGAACTAGGATATCTCCTGTTCTGCATGGGGCTGCTGCTAGACCCAGGCCTCCTGTTGGATAGTGGCAGTGCTGGCCAGGGGTGCCTTTCACCAGCTTTGATTGGTGAGCCAGCTGCAACTGTTCCTATGCAGGAAAGATCTTGCCACTGTGGCATATGCCCTGGTAACATCTAGGTTAGGTTACTGCAATGTGCTCTACATAGGGCTGCCCTTGAAGACTGTCTAGATAAACTACACTTGGTGTAGAATGCTCTGACCAGAGTGTTGACTGGAGTGTATCATAAGTCCCATATCACTCCAGTCTTGTGCTATCTACACTGGCTTCCAGTTTGTGTGTGGGCTCAATTCAAGGTGCTGCTATTGACCTTTAAAGCCCTGCATGGCCTGGGACTAACATACCTTATAGAATGTCTTCTCCAACATGAACCTACCCATTCACTCCAGCCATCCTCAGAGACCCTGCTTTGGTGCCCACCACTCTATTGGTTTCTTCCATCAGTGGGTGAAGACCTTTTTGTTTTGTTTGGCATACCCGCAATAACCATTATTGGCCCTCCTCTGGTATTGTCTGTGATCTGTTTTTACTGAATTTTATCATTGTAAATGTTGTTTTTAATTTTTCAAATATTTTAATGTTTTTATGTGCACCACCTTGGGGACCCTATCAGGTGGAAAGGTGGCACAAAAACTTTTTAAAATAAAAATACAATAAATACAAAACCCCACTTTTTTCATGTCCATTTCTTTTTTGGGGAGAAATCCACCACCACCCACCACCACCACCACCATATTTATGCTTTTCGTAGTTTGATTTCATCAACCTGGTCCTCTCAGCACATTCCCTTTTGAAGTGCTTGTGTGTTCCTCTGAAACTTTCGACATCTCTGATTTTTTGCAGACAATACAAAAGCGCTCATTTATTTTGAAATATATGTCGATGTACACCTACTCTTCAACAAAAAATATCAGTTGGTATATGAATCCCCCCCCCCAAAAATTAAAAATTAATTTGGTTTTGTGCTCTGCAGCCTCTGTTAAAAAAAAACAGGCATTGGGCGGAGGATACCTACTGGCAGCACGTGACTATGAGAGCAATTCCCAAGATGAGCAGAAGTCCTCCTCCAGCAGCCGCAATGACAATGGTGATTAGCTGATAAGCTAAAACAGAAACAGAAGTTATTCCGTTACAAGTCGCTTCTCTTAAAGTGAACATTTCCTGACGCCATCCTAAGAACATAAGAGACGCCAATGTTGGATCAGGCCAAAGGCCCATCCAGTCCAACACTCTATGTCACACAGTGGCCAGAAATACCAGTGCCATCAGGAGGTCCACCAGTGGGGCCAGGACATTAGAAGCCCTCCCACTATTGACCCCCCCCCAAGCACCAAGAAGACAGAGCATCACTTGCCCCAGAGCCCCTATCTATATCTTGTGGCTAATAGCCACTGATGGACCTCTGCTCCATATGCTTATCTAATTCCAGTTGCCTCCCCTAGCCCTGTGGTGTTGTGGAATGGGCACAAAAATTCAACTGGTGGGATGAAGGTTCAGCTCATTTGTTGGCAGATGGTGTGGGCTTCCTTTGAGGGAGCTACAAAAAGTTTCGTTACCGGACAATTAGGTGGGGTCACTAAGGACTGATTGATGTTTGTACACAGGTTGGACAGAGTAAAGGATGTTGTTCGACAGGAAACTTACGATTTCCACAGTTGAATCCTCCTAATCCAAATGGGCAACTGTAATGGAAGAGAGACGTTACATGTTCAGTAGACGAGCCTTAACTGAAGCAATATCAAAATAATGAAACAACATCTATTTGGGGATAGAGGGATGGGAAGCAAGGATAATTAAGTTCTATAGTTTGATACCTCACGCAAGTGTTGTTCTCAAGTTTATACCCATCTTCACATGCTAAAAAAAGAGAGAGAAAATGTCCATTAATTCACCTCAGAGACAGAGAGAATATGATCAGTGACTGGGACTTGGAGTTCTACTTCAGGATTTTGAGAGGGGGTTCTTTTCTTCTCCTCTCCATTTTATCCTCACAACAACCCTGTGAGGGTTGATTAGGCTGAGGGTGTGTGACTGGCCCAAGGTCACCCAGTGAGCTTCCGGCTTCCGTGGCAGAGTGGGGATTCAAACCTGGGTCCCTGAGATCCTAGTATGACATTCTAACCACTACTGGCTGGCTGTAAATCCAGTTTTACAATATTTACAATCAGGGTTTTTTTTGTAGAAAAAGCCCAGGAGGAACTCATTAGCATAATAGGCCATACCCAACAGCAGGAACTCATTAGCATATTAGGCCACACCCATGAGAGCTTAGCTCATTAGCATATTAGGCCACACTCCCATGTTACCAGAAGTGTGGTCATCCAACCACACCTACCTTTTGCTTCTTATTCTGTTTACCTTCCACACCCACCTTTTGCTTCTTATTCTGTTTACCTTGTTTGTTGTCAAAACCCAGGGCTTTTTTTGTAGCAGGAACTCCTTTGCATGTTAGGCCACACACCCCTAATGTAGCCAATCCTAATGAGTTCCTGCTGTTGGGTGTGGCCTATTATGATAATGAGTTCCTGCTGGGTGTGGCCAACTTGAGAGCCAGCCGGAACTCTGTTCTTGTGCGTTCCTGCCCCAAAATAGCCCTGTTTACAATGATTTTCAGAAAGTATGCCACAAATGATTCTACACATTCATTTAACTATTTATTTTTTATTTTATTGGACTTGTAGCTCACCCTCCCCGCAAGCAGGCTCAACAATATCAACACAATATACAATTAAATCCACTTAAACACAACAGATTAAAACAGCACATAAGCATAAAGACTGTGTAAAATCTAATCAGATGTTTCAGTAATTCAAATGGGACATGAGTGTGGGCTCCCAGATAGCTATCTGGATCCAGGCCACTGATGGGAGGCCAGCCAGAAGGGGGGACGGGACATCCGCTGCCTCAACTAGAAGCCCAGCGGAAGACCTCCATCTTACAGGCCCTGTGTAGGCCCTATCACTTCAATAGCCTTGGTCTATCTGGTAAATGTTGGAAATGCAAGGTCCAGGAAGGCTTGTATTATCATGTCTGGCGGACATGTGGCGAGGTGAAACAATATTGGAAGGAGGTGCAAAAGATACTAGTCCAAATAACAAGCATTCAGATTCCGCTAGAGCCAGAAATATTTCTCTTAAATATATTCCCGGAAAAATGGAAGAAAAAAGAAATATATGTAGTTATGCACCTAGTAACGGCGGCAAGAATAGTGCTGGCAAAGCACTGGAAAAGTGAACAGGTACCAAGTAGGTGGGACTACATTAGTAAGTTAATTGAAGTGGTAGAAATGGACAATTTAACGCAAAAGATGCATGGAAATAGGAGTTCAATTTTTCAGAGAGTCCGGTCACAAGTGTATAATTGGTTGGAGCAATAAGGCAAATTTATAATATGGTTAAAAAAAAAAGATATAAGAGAAGGAGATGATCTGTTTTTACGTTATGTGTACTTAGGTGACGGGTTGTTAGTTAGTAGTGTTGGATGTTTTTGTAAGCCTTGGATTTGATTTAAGGAATGTATGTGGTGATGTTGGAAATAATAAAAAATTATATTATAAAAAAAAATAGACTTGGTCTATCCAGCTGGAAGCCATTCAGTCAACAAATGGGTAAAGAATCGCTGAGATTCTCTACAAATATCATTTATTTGTAAATCATCGAATACGTTTTCCCCCCATCAAGTCATTGCTGACGTATGACAACCCCATAAGGTTTTCAAGGCAAGATACTAACAGAGGCTGTTTGCCCTTGCTTTCCTCTGTACAGTGACCCTGGGGTTCCTTGATGGTCTCTCATCCAACCCTGCTTAGCTTCCGAGATCTGATGAGATCAGGCTAGCCTGGGCTATTCAGGTCTGGGTACAATACATACAGTTGTACAAAATCAGAGCCAGTTTGGTGTAGTGGTGAAGTGCGCGGACTCTAATCTGGGAGAACCGGGTTTGATTCCCCACTCCTCCACTTGCACCTGCTGATGTGACCTTGGGTCAGTCACAAGCTCTGGCACAGCTGTTCCTGAAAGAGCAGTTTGTGTCAGAGCTCTCTCAGCCCCACCCACCTCACAGGCAATGTTCCCTCTAAGCTGTGGAATCTTGTGAGCAAAAATTCAACCTTGTGAGCTACTGGCATTAAAGTCGTGAGCGAGCAATTTGCCTACTGCATAAATTAGTTTGCTCTGGAGCCCTCCTTCCTGAGCTAAGACAAAAATGTGTGAGCTGGAGGGTAAAAAACTGTGAGCTAGCTCACACTAGCTCAGCTTAGAGGGAACATCACAGGGTCTGTTGTGGGGAGGGGAAGGGAAAGGAGTTTGTAAGCTGCTCTGAGACTCCGAGTGAAGGGCGGGGTACAAATCCAATCTCTTCTTCTAATGTTTGACAAAACACAGTTGTTGACAAATCTATTTGACTGAGGTCTTCTTATATCAAAACTTGTTCTACCAGATCTTAGTCCAACATTCCAACCACTACATAACACTGGCTCTATGTAACTAATTCTATGTTTTTGGGTACAATATAATTTTTCAAAAAGCATAACTAAAGTGCTTTAGGTTCCATTGAACCTTCCGGAACATTCAGTTGCTGACCTAAAAATAGCAGTTAACTTACAAAGGAATGTCAAAGGGAGATTAGAAAGAGAGACAGCTGAATTGCAACTGTTAACGAAGCTCAAGACAATGCAGCCACCTGGATTGAATAGAGACCTAGGTTTCCTGTCTCATTACCAGTGCTGATTTCTCCACGCCTACTACCTCTCTGCATATCAAACCTAATCCAATCACAACTGTTACTGTCATTGGCCTGCTAATGTCATTTGGCATATGAAACCTCTCCATTTCCCAATATATAGGAAAGATGGGCTCACATTCTAGTTGAGTGTGAAGAAGTGAGCAGTGACTCATGAGAGCTCATACCTACCACAAATTTTGTTAGTTTTCAAGGTGCTACTGGACTCTTACTCTTTTCTAAGGTTCCATTGGTAATTCATATTCTGTGATATCTCCAATCAATAACCTTACCTAATCCCAGAAAGGCACAATTAAAGAGTGTTGCCAAAACATATGTGTGATACCTATATTCAAACCTTGATACTAACATTCTGCATTCTCCAGATTAGGTATATTTAATTAACATATGTGTATGCTCCCGTTTTCTCCTAACTCTGCCACCTGCCCACCTACTATGTGGTATGTCACACATTTAGTGAATATACAGCAAAAAATTAGTCTCAGTCAGTCCTGTGTTGTTCTTAGAGCAACACTTTAAGATAATCATGACTAACTATTAATCATGACTAAATATTACTGGTATAACTTCTTTTCCTTTTCCATGTAAATAGACTATCCAGAGGAAAATAAATAAAAGTAATCTTGAGAAAAGTCGTTCGATGCAGTTAAACTAGTTGCCCAACAGAGGTCAGTACTGATCCATAACAACGCCAAGGCAGAAACTACACCTGAGCACGTAACTACCTATGTGAATTTCCCTCACCTTTTTTTTAAGCAAAGCAACCTCAGAAGCCTAAGTGAAACTGTTTAACCCTTTTGCCTCCAACCATTTCCCAACCTGAAATACTCCCCTCAGATCTCTCCCTCCAAAAAACACTCCAAGACTTCCTCCACAGGAAGAAAAATAGTTGGGAGACAGGTTTTGAGTAGTCACCCCTATTGGGCCTCTGTTTGGGGTTACAGCCTCCTTAAACTGCGGAAAAATACACACCCACAACCGTGTCTTACGATGCTGTAGCCTATGCCCTTGATAGTATTTGTTAACAAATAAGCCAGTCCTTGTGTTATTTGAGACCTGCCAATCTCAGATATTAAAGCCAAGGTGTAATAAGCTTTCCTATTTGAAAATTTAAAGGGTAATTAATACCTTAGAGCCAAACTTTCACAAAACAGTGTTTTGGCTCAAGATTGAAGTCTTCCATTGGAGGAAGAGTCAGTTAAGCTGGAGAAAGTCTCCTAGGCTGGAGCAAGGCTACCTGGAGGGTCATTGGATCCACCCTGGTGGAAGGAGTCTGTGGATGTGGACATTGGCTGCCCTGTTCTTCCCTCAGCACCCCACCCTACCCCAAGTCTTGCTGAGACCTGGGGAAATCTCCTGAACAAAATGCTATGTGGTGCAGGACGAAGGGGAAACTGGAAGAAATTATCCCTTGTCTGAATTTTTGCCCCATTCATGGAGTTTGCACTGCTCATGCTTCCTGCAGATCTCCCTGTTGGCCTTTTGCTCAGGAGAGGGCTACTGGGGAAATGGGAAGGACAGGAAAAATTACTGAAAATATTTATGTATACTGCCTCTCCACAACAAGTGTCTAAAACAGCGTATGATTGCCACTAAAGCGAACCTTCTCTGTTTGTATCCACTCCATATGTGGGATGTGTTGTGACAGGGGAGTGTGAGCTGCCTTGAGGTACACCCAGGAGATTTCAGTCTCAAAGGAATGACCAAAAAACAGCAAATAACAACTGTGTACTGCAGAAACCCGCACAAAAGTTTACAAAAAGAGACTTCAACACAAAAGTAATTCAACACATGCAATCCATCATAGGAAAATACAAAAGTCCACAATATCCCAAAGGGAAAGAACAAAGTCCAGAATAGAAATATCTCAAAGGGAAACAATGAGGTCTGGAATAAATATCAACACTTTTCCTAGGTATTGTTCAGTGTTTCGGACTTCTGGTCCTTCCTCAGGAACAAAAAGCCATTACAGGAAGTCTCATTGCAATTTCTTAACAGGCAAACATTGTTCAGTTTCTATATGGGCCAGGTCTCCTAAGCTTTAGAAATCACCTATCAAGGTTGCTACCGTATTATGTAAGTTGGACCAATTGCTTAAAGTAATGGCTGAGAGGAGATGGGTTTCCTGCCTGGAAATAACCATCTGCCCAACTCCCGGGAAGGGGCAAGATGGAGAGCTATTTGGATAACCTGTATTTGGGACATGAAGGATTGAGACATACCCTCTAAGCTGAGTGGAGAGAAGGGGCATGTTGGACTGTACCTCACCCTCGTAACAGGGTGAGGGGAAAACCACACAGCAGGGACAGGAAGGGTTAAGCGGTGCTCAAGCCAGGATTGAGAACAAGGGAAGGAAATGGAGTGGTGTCTGCCACGACCGGCCTCTGTTTCATATGCTCTAGCAGGCTTGTGTTCATCCCAGGGAGGGAGTGCTAAGGCAACATCTGTGTCTCTAAAGTTTAGATAAACCTGGGCTGCAGTCACACGTGCGAAATAATGCAGGCGGGAAGCGAGGCTGTTTGCCCCGGGCCGAAATGATGCGCGTTTGCGCAATCAGACTTCTACCCCACGCCCCGCGGTTTCCGGATGTTACTGGCCTTTCCCCAGTGGCTTTTAACCACTCCTGCGCCGCAATGAGACACCCCGCCAATGACTCCGGGATGCTGGACAGATGTTTCTGTCTGATCGCGCCCCTTTACTCCGCGCGGGAATCGGGTGTCTGCCACCACTTCTTGTACATATGATCGCACCCATGGAGTGTTTTATTTCCTTTCTTAGTTCTGTAATATACCTTTATTGCTGTGATATTCTTTCCCCCGTGTACTATTTCCTCTAGCGTTTAGAGTACTGTTCTATTAAATAAAGATCTTTCGCTTTTAGGTGTCAGCAGCATGCCCATCTCACTGCACATACAGAGCCCCTACCGGCATCCCAAACCACTGGTAAATGAGGGGAAGGGTGGAGCTTGGGTAGTGGCACCTCCCATATGCCCCGAGAGAGGGAGGAGAAGTGCTACAAGTCCTCTCACATCTACACATCTCCCCACCACGACAGGGCATACATGTTCTCCAAGGTGTTTACAGAATTACCAGCTCTCACTGCTTGGAAGCGGAAGCGGAAGCAGAAGCAGAAGCATAAGCAGAAGAAGAAGGAGAAGGAGAAGGAGAAGGAGAAGGAGAAGAAGAAGAGGAGGAGGAGATTGGATTTATACCCCGCCCTTCACTACCCAAAGGAGTCTCAGAGCAGCTTACAAACTTCTTTCCCTTCCCCTCCCTACAACAGACACCCTGTGAGGTAGGCGGGGCTGAGAGAGCTCTTGACAGAAACGGCTCTTTTTCAAGAACAGCTCTGAGAGAAGAAGAGAAGAGATTGGATTTATACCCCGCCCTTCACTACCCAAAGGTGTCTCAGAGCGGCTTACAAACTACTTTCCTTTCCCTTCCCCTCCCCACAACAGACACCCTGTGAGGTAGGTGGGGCTGAGAGAGCTCTGACAGAGACTGCTCTTTTTCAAGAACAGCTCTTATCAGAACTAAGGCTTGCCCAAGGTCATCCAGCCAGGTGCAAGTGGAGGAGTGGGGAATCAAACCCGGTTCTCACAGAGTAGAGTCAGCACACTTAACCACTACACCAAACTGGAGAAAATGTTTGGAGATCAGAAATAAATACAAGCTCAAATGTATTGCGTTTCTCCTCATATAGCACATTTCTGCTTTGCTCATCCTTCTCATATTTGAAGGTGCCAGTTTTGCTGTGGGGAAGCCTCCATGCCACATGGTTGCAAATGGTCCCTGGGTGTCCAGTAGGGCAACAGCACACAAGCAAAGTCAACTAGATGTAGCTGCAATATAAATCTCAGCTACAGTCCTCAGACCCACATTCCTGTAGTCCTCCTGGGTGCTGACCAGGTTTACTTGCTGCTTTGAAGGAAGCCCTTGCAACCAGCCCAGACAATAAGCAACCATATGGAGTCTGGTTCTACCCTTTAAATGGCCCATAAAAGGCACACCAGTGGTTGACAAAGACCATCTCTAGTAAGTAAACCAGTGGTAGGGAGGGGTACAAGGGGGGTAGGGTAGTCTTGGCCTTTACTCTTCAGTTCTGTGATGATTTTTAAAGCCTTAAATGTGAAATATGAAATGTTTCCAAGTTTTGCACATTCCCCCTATAACAGCACTGGAACACATTTGGGTATCTTCCCAAGTGTCTAAAGACTGCAAATTTCAGCATGTAGGACATACTAATAAAGTAGCATGACTCATGAATGAAGACAGGCTGGACAGCCGCTTATTCAGGAATCCGACAAGCAAGTTCAGCCAAAGAGTAATTGAGGCATATGTTGCTGTTGATGGGGGTTGATGTTGGTGTGACAAATCCCAGGAACTAAGAAGCCCGGAGACACAATATTGCGCTAAATCAGATTTAGACAGCGAAGCAGTTTTTGTCTTGGGGGAGGTGGAAGGAATAGGTTTACCCTGACACTGAACTGATGTATTTGTTGGTCAGAAGAGGATCTCCCACCACAGATATGAGAGGGGGCATCCCATTTATTTTGTTCTTTGTTTACTGTCCTTATAGGGCTTGGCCTCTCTCACTGGCTTCAGTATCTTCATTGCATTTTGCGGTGGTGACTCTTGTTCTGCGGGCCCTTCTACTGTCATTATACCAATCTACATCAGATGTGGTCTGCTCAGGCAAAAATGTTTATGCCTAGACAACTCTGCTTCAGTGGAAGAATGTGGGTTGATAATATTCTAATGATTTATTTGTTTACTGAGAGCAAACAAGTGCTTTCCATATGGTCCCCACTTTGAGCATGGAACAAGGAGTTTCCTGCATTCCTCTCCACACCTACAGCCCCTTCTGACCCCTGGAAAGATCACTTCCTGGGGTCACGGGATCCACACAGAGGAATAGCCAAGTGCAATATGGGGACTGGAGAGAGGCAAACATAAGAAATTGCTAGGCTAATAGTATTCTGACCTGGATAGCCCAAGCCAGCCCAATCTTGTCAGATCTTGGAAACTAAGCAGGGTTGGCCCTAGTTGGGTAGCTGTGTTGGTCTGAAGTTGGTCTGAAGATTTGGATGGAAGACCTCCAAGGAATACCAGGGGTGTGGTGTGACATGGAGGCAGGCAATGGCAAACCACCTCTGAATGTCTCTTACCTTGAAGACCCTTTGGGGACATCATAAATTAGCTGTGACTTGATGGCACTTTCCACTACCACTAGGCTAAGAGTACAATCCTACACAGAAGAAAATCTGAGTCCAGTGGCACCTTTAAGACAACAAAGAGTAAAACTTTAAACAAAGTTTTATTGTGAGTATAAGCTTTTGAGTGCACGCGCACTTCTTGAGATGCCATTTTTATAAAACTTTGTGGGTCCTAAAGGTGCCACTGGACTCAACTTCAACACAGCTACCCAACTGAATCTATAGGACTCAACTTCAGACCAACACAGCTACCCAACTGAATCTATAGGACTCAACTTCAGACCAACATGGGGTGCCCAACTGAATAAATCCTAAACAGAGTTACTCCATCATCAATGTCAATAAGCAGGGTCTGATCTGAGATTCATAATCTGTTTGATTGCCTATATCCAAATTTTACAGTGTAATTTTAAGTATACACTGTAAACATTGGATATAGGCAATCAAACAGATTATGAATCTCAGATCATAGAATTTGCATAGTTTTGGCATAGTTCAGACTACTAAAATCTACTCCATACACAAACACGCACAGAGGGATACAGCCATGTGGTTCAGAGCAAATAAAGTGGATGTAGCCAGAAAGCCATATCAAGCACGAGACAGACAATACATTATTGAGAAGTCATCTAAATTGGATGGGTGATGCCCAACAGAATAACACAGTGTTATTGGCTTTCGAGTGTGAATGTGTTATCCCACCTTTTTAAAATCTGGGTAAACCCTTCATGACTGCTCATTTGGAATGATAGTAAGAATACAATGAAAACAACTATGCCTCAAAAAGCAGTATTATTTTTTTTTGCTGCCCCTGGAGATCAGACAAAACAGAGACAGAAATAACTGTGCTATGCCCTCTCTAAAAACTGAACTTTTGTCACAGAGCCCTCCCTGGCCTGCCCCCTCTTATTCTTTTCACTGGATCTTTCTGGCTTACACAGCATGCTGTGCAAAAAGATAATATTATTGCTGCACAGAGAGCAACCAAGATAAGATATCCTTGGTTTCTACCATACATCAGCCAGAGAAAATCTAAGCTGTTAATACTTATTCATAGAGATGAGCTTCTTAGCATGCACAGACACACACAAAACACCCACACTGATCCACAGAAAATCCTTCGAACTGGAACCAAAAGATTAAAGAAGAATCCCAGCAAACCAGCTGTGTAAGGCACAATACCTCTGCAGGAATGATCCAGTTTGTTGTATCTGAAGTATCCAGGTTTGCACTGGCACTCGGCAATGCCGTCAAAGTCCACGCATGCAGAAGTTTCTTTGTCACATTCTGGATCTTTGTGTTTGCACAGACCACCAGCTATCACAAGAAGAACATTGTGGAAAATCATAACCATGCTGAGAAAAAAGTGTACCTTGACTGGAATCTCTGGCTGCGAATACCACACCAGGATTAGACTCTGCTTATATGACTTACTTGACTCCATTATTCCCCTCTGAAATAGCTTATAGTACCAGCCATGACAATACTTGCTCATATAAAAAAACAAAAAAACAAAAAAACCAGACCCGCATTTCGCTTCTTGCAATCAGAATGGCTAAAATCACAGGTTTGATCATGAACATGTGGAATAGGTGGAATCCATTTTCTCTTTATCTAAGTCTCACTCATCTAGCATCTTCTGCCAAATATAGTCCCCCAAAGATGGTGTACCTGTTGTCTAACTTTACAGCAAAGCTTCATTGTCACTCAGTCTGGAGATTATGTAGTAAAAAGTGACATTATTTTTAAAATTTCAGTGAAATTAAACAACTTCTCTCACAAACTGATACCTAACAGTGTTTTCTTGTGAAGTTATATCACGAAACATGGTTTCTGAACAAGATCCCTCCCTAACATAAAACAGTATAATTTCACATCAGTGGCTTATTTGTCTTTGAAATACATCACAGCAGCTTGGATCCCACCACAAATATATACTGACAGAAAGATATCAGCAGAGAGACATCTCTGCCAATCCCACCCCACTGCAGCTGAAAATGACTCCTGAAAAATGCTTCTTTCTAGGAACAATCTCCCCCTCTCCCACAGATGCAAACATAATCACCAGAACTGAACTCAATGCATAGTGTATACCAGTAATAGTCATCATACTAATGAAACAACATGCAAAGGTAGAAAATATTTCCTTGCATGTTTTTAATTATAAGTCATTTTAAAATGTCTGAAATGACTGGTGTCAATTGTTTTCTTGCATTAATAATTTGCATGTACATGTTTTCCACTGCTATGTATGTCTTCAGATACATCTGTAAAGGCTATTTAACATTATTATGATGATTGTTTTGTTTTAATCCCATTTTTTCCACTACAGGATTAACATCCTGATTTCCTCAAGAAACTCTGCTACAATCTAATAGTTCTGAAGATCTTTGCAACACTGATATAAGAAAAAGGAAATAATTTGCTGTCCGTCTCATCTTGTCTTTGCATCTCTAAAATGCATTCTTAGAGCGTCTGGGGATTGGTTCAAACTGTGGAGGGAAGATAAGACTCCTGTTGTTCAAATCTGGCCAGTATTCAATGCTGAATCTCTAAAATGAAAGGCCTGTACACAATGACCTTAATCCTGCAGTGTAACCTGTCCTTCACGGACAAGAGTGCTTTTGTCAGGAAACAGATTTCACACATAGGTGAAAAGAAAAAAATTATTAATGTATATTTTATCCTATAGAGGCTTTTAAGATATGTTCTGTGTCAGTGAAAGAAAGCTTTTCAAAGAGAACTTTGAAGAAACAAAATTTCCGCCTTCGTTCTTTTCAAGATGTTTTTAAAAACCATCAAATTACACTTGAAGCCGCTATCGGTACTAATGTCAGCTTACCTCTGTGGAGCTGGAGAAGGCTAGACATGAACTGGCAAGTCTCTGAGGATGCTTTGCAAGCTCGGATGTGGCTTCGCACAGTGCTGACAACGTCATAAAGGGTGACATTGGAGACCACGGAAAAGGTGCTTGTGATGGAAACTTGGACAATACCTGATTGCCTGCAGAAAGAGTGACCAAAAAAATTAAAATCATATTGACTTCGTAAAAGCATAACATTTATGGGTGGATTGTTACTAATACCATGCATATACCATGAATGCATTGCTCTATTCTGTGCTGTGGAACACTTGCCAGAGCAAACCAGAGACCGACGGGTTAGATCTCGTGTTTCCAGCTTCCAGTTGGGGTCTGAAGATCTCTCAGGATTCCAACTGATCCTCAGACAACAGAGATCAGTTCCCCTGCCAAAAAATGGCAGCTTTGGAGAGTAGACTCTATTGTATCACATCTCTGCTGAGATCCCTCCCCCCCCAAACTCCAGGAATTTCCCAGCTTAGAGTCGAAAGCCCTAGATAGATCCTATGAGCCAAAAGGACAAAGCTGTTCATAGACCCAAATATTCCACATGTCCCCCCCCCCAGCATCCTTGCGATGCGATATGGGAGACTGATGTGAAGAGAGGCTACACTGCACCTCCTTATGGACAATACGGAAGCAGGGTCAAGTATCCCAGCTCCCACTCTTTGCCACAGTTCTTTGTGGCCTATGGCGTTTTGTCCACAAGGGTCCTATGGCTCTGAGCATCATCTTTCTAGACGTTTCAGAAGGCTGCTTGGGAGGGAGAGGAAACAGGAACGACGCACAAGCACCTTCTGTTCACAGTTCAGAGAACCCCAGTCCCATGTTTACCACAATGGATATTGTTAAATCCCTACCTAGGCCTCATTTGGCCAAAAACGGTCTCTGTTCTGCAGAGCATGTTGCACAGATGTGCCAGGGGTCGTTTCGTAGAAAAAGAGTTAGGGGAACTCATTAGCATAACTCATTAGCATATGCCACACCCCCTGCCATCACCGGAAGTGTGTCATAAGGCCACACACCCCGCCCCCAACAGTCCTGGCCGCCGCCGCCGGCCTTGCAGCTCCACTGCCGAGCCCCCTGAGGGGCCCGGCGGTGGACCTGCAAGGCCAGCGGGAGTGCAAGGAAGCCCCGCGAAGGCCCTCCCTGGCCCCAGGCAGGCAGGGGTGGGGAGAGGCAGGGGGGGAGCAACTTACCCTCCCTCTTCTCCTGCCTCCTCCTGGCTGAATGAGGGCCGGAAGCCGGGCGGCCGGAAGCAGGGGGCGGGGCTTCGTCATGTGCCCCGCCCCCGTACCTCACCTGGGGGACCTGCGATCCCCCGCGATCCCCCCCGAAATGACCTCTGAGATGTGCCCAGAAGAGAACTAGGACTGTGCTCTGGTTTGGATCCAAACTTGTCCTAGTGTGAGTGGATTGAACTTGTGCTCACCCAGTACCTGCCGACTGCCTCTTCCCACTGCGGCCCTCCGTTCCACACACTACGCCATTACAGATGGCAAGCTGACACTCAGCATCAGCCTTATGAAGGGGACAGGGAGCCACAGTGGGGAAGGGAAGGTGTGAAAAAACACGTGCAGTGAGCAGAACTCCGCTTGTAGTTTACAGGGTTCATTCCGGAGAACAAACCAAGGCTCAGTGTGTGTGGTCCCACAGCCAACAGCAGAGGGTTCTGAACTCTGTCCTGTTTTGACCATGTGAGGCGGAAGCAAGAAGAAAAGTGCATGTTCCAGTCAGGAGAGTATCTGTGCCTCGGCTTTTCTGTCCACCGCAAGTACAGATAATGGTGAGGGAGAGGACAAAAGGTATACTTCGAAAACACCAAATGGTGCCCAGATGCAGAAAGGGAGAGCACTCCTCTAAGTTTATAGGTGCAGGAACAGAGAATGTCAGCAGGTGTGCCTTTTTCCTTTCTTGATGAAAGGCTGTACCTGCCCAAATTCCGTCTTCTCCAGAAATGTACATACAGGAGCCCCACCATCATAATATAATAAACCATGTGGAGTGCAGACAGTATTTCAGGAACTCACTTACACATGAAGCAGGCAGCCCCAGCTTGTAAACAGGTGTAAATGAACAAGAAATGATCTTATACTTTACTGAGACAAACGTTTGTCCTAGTTTTTTAACTATAATGTTATATTTGAAAAACAAAAGCATGCAGACAGTGGTCTGTCTAACCTGGATGGAAAAGTGGGTGAAATTAGAGAATGATAAACTATTGGGGTTAGAAGGCCATGACTGTAGATTTGGTTGGCATGCATACTTATGGTATGATAAGACAAAAATGGATAGCTTTTTTAAGCTTCATGTGGTAAGAAAAGCATTGTTTGTGGTATGGATGAGATATAAAAAATATTTTCGTGATGTAAGACCATTGTGGATTGTACCAGTAGAAGTGTTAACATCTTACTCAAGACATAGAGACAAGGATTGGTTGCCGTATAAAGATTTAATTAAAAAAGAGGGAACAGATTGGGTAATGAAAAAGCAGAATGAAATTGAATATGAATATGAATGGTTGAAATACATGCAAATCTATGATCTTTTTAGATCAGATAAAAGAAATTATGGTTTTAGAGAGGAAAAAAATGAAATGGAAAATGTTTGGGAGAGTGGAGGGGGAAAAATATCTCTACAATGTATAAAGTGTTGTTAAAATGGTATACAGAAGAGGAAACGGTGAAAGAGCAAATGATAAAATGGGCAATAAATATAAATAAGGAAGTTTTGATTGAAACCTGGGAATATTTGTGGAAAAATTCTATTAAGATATCGCCTTGTACCAATGTTAGAGAGAATTGTTACAAAATGATGTATAGGTGGTACATGACTCCGAAAAAAATTGCAAATATGAACCAGAATATGTCAAACAAATGTTGGAAATGTAAGAGTCACGAAGGCTCATTTTACCATATGTGGTGGACTTGCGAGAAAGCTGTAGACTATTGGACAAAAGTCCACAAAGAAATGCAAAAAATACTGAAATGCTCTTTCAAAAAGACACCAGAAATTCTGCTTTTGGGACTAAAAATGAAAGAAGTCAATACGACTAAAAAGACCCTATTCTGGTACTTAATTACAACTGCGAGAATGATTTATGCACAATTTTGGAAAACAGAGAAAGTACCAGAAATTGAAGACTGGATACAAAAAGTTCTGTTCATGGCAGAAATGGATAAAATTACGAAAAAGTTGAATAACAAAGAAGATGACGTGTTTTTTGAAGAATGGAGTGACTTTAAAATATATCTGGAAAAGAACTGGGATGTGAAACAAAACTTAATATGTTTAGAGCAATATTAAGTCAAATGATGTTATCTTAAGATTGTAATCATAAGAAAATGATATAATTGATGATGTAAAGTAATGTGGAGTGTAGGGGGGGAAGCATTGCGGGAAGCCACTGGAGGGAGGGGAGGAAATGGGAATGGGGTAGACAATGGAAAGGATGAAATGATTTATTTCTATATGTTGAATTCCTAAGAAAATAAAATTTGTTTACCAAAGAAAAAAGAAAAAAAGAAAAACAAAAGCATGCAAAAAATGAAACACGACAGTCAGGGGGAGGAAAAGCTAATGTTTTCATATGGCAATGAATGCATATATGTATCATAATTCTGAAGTCATGTGCACAAGACTGGGTGCAAGGCTCTAGTGCCCCACCACTTCCAGTAGATACCTTGTTGATCCTACTGGCAGAAGTTGACATCTGCAGCCACAGCCTGGTTTAAAAAACAAGCAAACAGCAAGACCTTGGCCCCAGTCACACGGCAAAGTTGCCGCGGGAGAGGCACGGGAGTCCCACGGATTTTCTGGGTGCGATCTCACCCCAACATCTGGGAAGCGCAGTGCTCCCGTGGCAAACCCGTGGCTCCCCGCCGAAGGTGCGGAGTTAAAAACTAGTACCTACGAGGTACTAGTTTCCGGAAACCGTGGGCCAAGGGCGGGCATTCCCGGTGGACTTACGTGGCATCCGGCGCCTGCCGCTGTTCATCTCCACAGGTTGCGTAACAGTGCCCAACAACGCATGCGCACAAAGAGCTATTGCTAGTGCGATCGCGCAGCGCGGCTTCTGTGCCGCACTGCAGGATACCCGTCTGATCGGCATTTCCCCTGAACCACGGGACCTTGACCAGGACGTGTGCTCGGGCTGCCGCGCATTAGTTTCCTCCGGGGCAATTAGCCACGCCTCCCCCTGCGATATCCGGCCCGTGTGCCTATTCAATGTAAAGTGTTGTTGAGACTGCAGGAATATCATTCAAGGAGTGGGCAAAGTTTCATTTCAGCCACGGAATGCCCTCTTTCTACTTATTGATTTGGTGTTGGATGAGATGAATTTCAGAGCCACATAAAGACATTGCAGTTTACCTGGGAATTCTGTTAGTCAACTGCAATATTTCATTGGCTTGGGGTGTTATCTTTGTAATGGGTTAGATGGCGTATTTTCTCATTTTCCGTTTTTGCCTATTATTGTGTGTTGATGCTTTCTCTTTTCACTACACGTTAAGTGGCTGCTGTTAGCTGGCTATAATGAGTTCTATAATTATATTCCTGCGTCGCTTTTATTGTGTGTGTGTGTGGGGGGGACTTTTTGTTATTTATTTATTATTCCTTTGTATTGTATTACATTATGAGCAGCTCTGAGAGCCTTTGGGCTGGAGGGGGGAAATACATTTTCCCCCAAATGAATGAATAAATGAATACCAGGCCCCTCATCCAACAAACCTGCCATTGCTTGATGCACCTTACCTTGATGCACGAACAGTCGAAGTGTAATAGCCAGGCAATGCTGAGAGAGAACTGTTCAACTGAAGAAGGGGGGAAAAGAGAAAGAACAAATTGCTACTTCAAGAACACTCTGAAACTAGAAACTATATTTTCCACCACTGAGTAACAGGAGTTAGTTTGTACTAATTGTGAAGGCATATTGAGCCATTCTGGATGAAAATGAATATTTTTTTAAAAAAACCCAAGACCGGCCACCCACGTCATAAAGGATAAATAAAATGAAAGAAAAAAAGGTGAGAAAAGAGCACTGCCTATTAGAGGGACTGAGAACTTCCCAAGATTATGCACAGCTTTAGAAGGCAAATCCTTTGTGCTGTGGAATAGCTGAAAGACCCAGGTATTTATTTCTACTGTACTCTTTAAGGGTCATCTGGATGAGATACTGGAAACTCAATTACAGGTCACCTGTCTCTGTAAATGGAAATCAAATGTCAGCTGGGAGTGGAGTTATTTATCAGGACCACAGCACTGGGGAGAGGAGGTTAACTAATTTCCTTCATCCTGTTTTCTTGATGAAAACGCCTGGCTGTTTGGCCCATAAATGAAGAAGAGGAGGAGGAGGAGGAGATTGGATTTATATCCCGCCCTTCACTACTCAAAGGAGTCTCAGAGCGGCTTACAAACTCCTTTCTCTTCCCCTCCCCACAACAGACACCCTGTGAGGTGGGTGGGGCTGAGAGAACTCTGACACAAACTGCTCTTTTTCAAGGACAGCTGTGCCAGAGCTTGTGACTGACCCAAGGTCACATCAGCAGGTGCAAGTGGAGGACTGGGGAATCAAACCCGGGTCTCCCAGATTAGAGTCCGCACACTTAACCCCTACACCAAACTGGTAGAAGTGACTTAAAAGAAGTGACTTTGTTGCACAAAACGGCTCTCGCAAAGCAAAAGAGCTCTTTCATCACATAGATGTGGCTTAATAAAGGCAAAATTTTCAGGGGGAGGGTAAACTTAGTGGTTCTTTGTGAATCCGATCCGATCTAATGTGCAAGTGGAGGAGTGAGGAATCAAACCCGGTTCTCCAAGATTAGAGTCCGCACACTTAACCACTACACCAAACTGGTAGAAGTGACTTAAAGGCAATTGTCTTTGTTGCACAAAATGGCTCTCACAAAGCAAAAGAGCTTTTTCATCACATAGATGTGGCTTAATAAAAGCAATTTTTTCAGGGGGAGGGTAAACTTAGTGATTTTTTGTGAATCCGATCTAATTTATTACAGCAAGGGTCAGTAAAACAGTACAATTCTGATATAAGAAGGATTAAAACAGTGATAACACAGGAACGGGATAAAAACATTAACAAAAGAAAATTAATAAAATTAGTAAAATAATGTTAATAAGAGAATCATACAATTTTTTCAGCTAAAATAAGTTTACGTTTCCTAATAGCTAAGCAACAAAAATTTTGCTACAGCATAAGTCGCTGGGCTTTGAACGTCTTCTAGGAGGAATTCACAAAGGACTTCTGGCCTACAGTCAAGATAAAACTGCAGAGGGATAAATCTAGACAGAAGGGGTAGTATAAGATGGTCTCGTTCCTCCTGACAGAATCTGCAGAACAGGAGGACATGAGTAATTGATTCCACCATATTAGCCATGCATGGGCATATACGCTCATGCATTGGAACTCGAGTGAATTTACCTTGGAGTACAGTGGAAGGGAGCACCTCAAAACAGGCTCTGGAAAAGGCCCATCTATAGGGCTCATAGGTAATGTTAAATAAATAAAGGGCAACAGTAAAATTAGGCCAAGATTTTATATTTCTAAAGTTCTTGGGTAACGTTTTTGTGCATCTTAGTGATTCTGGGGCTCTGCCGCCCTTCCAGGGCCCCAGCTGCAGCCCTCTGCAACTCCAGGGAGGTCCATAGTGGCAAAGCAGCAGCTGGACAGCTGGGGGGCCCCGTCCCCCAGTGCAGGATCGGGGGCAACTGCCCTGGCTGCCCCATGGCTACAAATACCCCTGGTGTAAGCTCATTTGCCAATAACAAATGGGCATAATTAAAATCCATAAACAGGATTCCGTAACAGGCCAATAAGAGTGTTTTGCCAGCTGAGAGAGAAGCAATTTGCAGTTCATACTGTTTGTTACACAATCCATAACAAGGTCAAATAAAGAGCAAGAACCAGTGAGGCTGGTGACTGGAGTAAAAAAAGGGTCTTTTGCTGCCGAGTGTGACAGAGGGAAGAGTAAAGAGAGGTTGCCCTTACAGAGGGCATTGTGGAGCCAGAGCACAGAGGTTCCCCAGCATGCCAGGGCACAGTTCATGAGTGGATAGTAACCCAACACAGGCATGAGCCATGACATCAGCAGCTGTCACTGGGTATCACTAGCCACTAGAGTTGCCAGGTCCCCCCGGTCACTGGTGCGGAGGGTAGGGTTGCCATCTCCAGGTAGTTAAACTCCTGGAGATTTGGATATGGAGCCTGGGGAGGACAGGGACCTCAGTGGGGTACAATGCCACAGAGTTCACCCTCCAATGCATCCATTTTCTTCAGAGGAACTGATCTCTGTAGTCCAGAGATGAGCTGTAATTCCAGGGAATCCCCAGGTCCCACCTAGAGGCTGGCATCCCTACTAGCCACTGAGCAACATTACACTTGCCAAATGGTGAGGTAACAGGCCTCAGTCTCATTTATTTTATTAATTTATGCCTTTCTCACTTAGACTCATATTGCCCTTGGGAACCAAAGGAGGTTCAACCCCCCCCCCCTTGAGCGCAGGGCCAGTAGCAAAAGCCTTTTTTAAACCTCCAGATATTTTCCTCACTAGATGCCACTGAGAACAAACACCTTGCTTTTGACACTTACTGTGACTATGATATCTTCCTCAATGCGATGAAGCTCCGAATACTTGCCTCCAGTTGTGTTAAACATTAGGGGAAACTGGCCAACAAAGGTTCTTACTGAAGAGAAGAAGACAGAGGTTCAGTTAACACACACACACACACACACACACACACAATCAATTTTTTGTGCCAAGGATACCGAAAATTTCCTCTCAACAATGAAAGCCAGAAACTTGCAGGCAGCTTCAGGCCCAACTCCAAGCTCTTCACGAGTATCCCTTTATTTGCTTCTTCTTCTTTTTTTTACAATTTTTGAATGGGAGCAGTGTTTCTAAGGATCAAATTAGACGTTGTACAGCAAACACTTATGTGTCTCCTAACTTACTCCTCAGTCCCCTGAGGCAGTAGAGCAAGTGGGGTTACCCATTTTCTCTTGTCTTCTCATTCCACTTCTAAATGGAGTGACACACTTAGAAAGTAGATCCCGAGGAGTTAGCCATGTTAGTCTGTTGCTGCAGAATAGTAAAAAGCTCAGTAGCACCTTTAAGACGAACAAACTTTAATGTAGCATAAGCTTTTGAGAAACACAGCTCTCTTCGTCAGATGCATCTGACAAAGAGAGCTGTGTTTCTTGAAAGCTTACGCTTTCCCACTGTTAAAGAACCAGTTAGCAGGTTATATGAAAGACCTCCGCCTGAGACCCTGGAGAGCTGCTGCCAGTCTGAGCAGACAATACTGACTACGATGCGCCAATGGTGTGATTCAGTATAAGGCAGCTTCGCGTGTGTGTGTGCGTATCTTACCTAAATTGCACTTTCCTTTTTCCATCCGGTACCCGAGTGAACATGTACACTGGAATGAGCCTTGTGTGTTAGTACACGTGGCCAAGGCAGGGCATGGATTAGAGAGACATTCATCTATATCTGAAAAAGAAGAGAGAGAGAAACTGTAGTTTATAGGAAAACCCAACGATTTGCTACAGCGAAAGCAGCTGCCAACTAGGCAGCCTCTTCTCCCTAGTGGCAGCTGCAGAATGAGAAACCAAGTCAGCAACTATCATGACTCACGTTTGCAATGAGTCTTGAACTGGCGACCTGAAGATGTTGTGAGGACATGTGTGTGTCAACACCAAGGTCTGGTCTGGGGAGGGGACTTTAGGGAAATCAACAAAACTGACATGCTGCAATCCAATACCCCTCCCGTTCCCACACAAAGCTCCTGGGTCAAGGACTGCTTGCTGGTCTAAACAACTGGGAGCCTTCCTTCTCCTAGCCGGGGCATTGCCTCCGCTCCTTCCCTGCCCTGGCCCCACTCTCAGATTCAAAGCAGCTGGGTCTGACAGCCTGTAGACACCAAGATGTCTTCCATGGTAGGAAGTCCAAGGAAAAGGGGGCTATGTTTGCTCGGAACCCCTTCCACAGCTGCCGCTGCTGCTACCTGTATTTGCCACATGAGAAGGGATCTTGCGGCCCTTCCTCAGATGCCAAATACAGGGAAATTAATGCAAATTTTATCTTTGAAGTGATAACAGAAACACAAAAGTTGATAGTGGCTGTAAGCGCATCATAACTGCAAAGCATTCATTAGTAGCGGGCAGAAATTTTAACGTAGGATCTAATCCCTTGCACAGGAATATTCACTGCCATGTCAGGACCACTGTATGGAGAAATGAAACCCAATGATATAGAAACGGCCATCCATGATTCAGTCTACCTCACTGGTTAGCTGGATATGGCAGTCTCAGAAAGAAGACTGGCTAGATTGGATCCCTTTTAGCAGCAGATTATTATTATCAGGGCTATTTTGGGGCAGGAACGCACAGGAACGGAGTTCCGGCTGGCTCCCAAGTTGGCCACGCCCAACAGGAACTCATTAGCATAACAGGCCATACCCAACAGCAGAAACGCATTAGGATTGGCTACATTAGGGGTGTGTGGCCTAACATGCAAAGGAGTTCCTGCTACAAAAAGGCCCTGGGTTTTGACAACAAACAAGGTAAACAGAATAAGAAGCAAAAGGAGGGTGTGGCTGGATAACCACACTTCTGGTAACATGGGGGTGCGGCCTAATGAGCTGTGCTGTCAGGGGTGTGGCCTAATATGCTAATGAGTTTCTGCTGTTGGGTGTGGCCTATTACGCTAATGAGTTCCTGCTGGGCTTTTTCTACAAAAAGAGCTCTGATGATGATGATGATTATTATTATTATTCTAAATTTCATTTCTAGTATGCTTAACTTTCGCTTCTTCTCCAAACTAAAATTTGAGCTTCTGAAACATTCCACTTCTTTGTTACTCCTCCTGTTTGTTACACTTTTAGATTAATGAATGCAAACTTCCCTGCGTCCCTGCCCATTCTGCAGCACTGCCTAGATGCCAGGATATATGCAATCAAAAAATGTTTGCCACTGTGCCTCGTCGGCAAAGAACAGAAGAGCTCAAGCAAACAAGAACCCCCACACACACTCATCAAGTCGACCTCTTCAAGGTAGTTTGCTGTCAACGCTGCGCTGCGTTGCTTAAACGCAAAAAGGGGCAACTTGGACTAGAGAATACCTATTCTTTTCTCTAAAGGGACAAGCAGTTCTTTGATTTAAAACAAAATAATCAAATTCCTAATGACATAAGCAATTATTTTCTGTTTTAAGAAAGATATCCTGAAAGAACTTATTGTAAGTGTATTTGACACGTGTCCTGCACAATCATTCAGATTAACTTTATTATTATTATTTTTTTTAAAGATTTCTTCCTCCACCTTCAAATGATTTCGCCCAATGAAAAAGACTGTCAGCTGGTTAATTCTCACAGCCTTTTCCCTGTTCTCTGATTGTTTACGTAGAGCCATCTAGAAAACACAAATCACTTTTTTCACCTGTTTATAAATGCGCTGAATTAAATGCAATTATCAAAAGCAGTTAAATTTACGCCTTATGATGCAATGGTTTTCAGAGTATGATTACCTTTGCCTTGGGAAGCTGTAGGGGTATCTGGGTTTCCCAACCATGCAACTGTAGTTGGTTTGGTAGGGACTGGTAAAATAGAAAAAGGCCTTGTGGTGCGTTTGCTAGGAGAAAATGTCTTGGGAGGATGAGTAGAATAGAGATTGTGCTCTATGACTTTAACAGTAGGTGCACTGGTCATTTCTGTCCCTTTTGTGGTTCTTCCAGAGGTATGAGACATCTCAGTAGGAGGCTGAACCCTGGGAGATTTTGTGGTTACTGAATAGTCCATTGCTGATGCCAAAGTAGGTGATCCTAACATTGTGCCTGTCATGTTTGGAAGGGTTTTTCCTGTTGTTACATCCACCAAACTGAAGACATTGTTTTGAGTTGTTGTTTTGGGCAACACACTAGACGATACTTTTGTTGTCCCAGAAACTGTGGTACTTTCAGACATAAAAGCAGGAGATGTAGTTAAAACCTGAACAGTTTTTTCAACACTGGTCCCTGGGAGTGAAACAGTTTGCTCTTGTGAACTCTTGGTTTTCCCTAGGGAGATCGTCACTGGTGCAGAATGATTTGTAAGCTGCTCAGTAGTTTCGGTCTGAAGAAGGGAAGATCCTGTTGAACTGAAACCAGTGTTATCTTTCAAAGGATGCGTCCCAGTCTGGTTGTTGTAGTCACTGGTGGACCTCCCAGCTGTGGATGCATCTATTCCTGTTGTGCCCACAGGTTCAGTTTCGGAAACACTGGTTTCCCAGTTCATACCAGGCTGTAACAGTGAGGATGTTGAAGCAGGTGAAGGCAACGTAGACAAGAATGGGGAAAATGTGGGCAGTGCTGTTGAGGACAGTCTGGGTGAAGGTGTCAGTGAAGGTGTGGGAGAAGATAACAGTGTTGGGAAAGCAGAAGAAGATGCCAGCCAAGAAGATTCAGATGATGAGAACAGAGGTGGTGGCTGTGTTGGTGGAAGCGAACTCCGTAGTGATGTTGCTTGAGAAGAAGACAGAAATGATAAGCTGCTGGCAGATGTGGATTCAGAGACTGAATAACTCACTGTAGAAGAGTACCCTGTTGTTTGCAGAGACTGTACAGCCAAAGGTTCTGTTGATGGGGCAGAGAAATCTCTGTCACTTGACGACAAGTTACTTCCCATATTTTGGGTTATAGAAAACGTGGACTGAGCCGACTCTGAAGGGGTAGAATTTTCTGCATAAAAAGATGTACTGTTGTTTGAAATAGACAGCAACGTCCTTTCTCCACCTTTTGTGAAAGGGGTTGAGATGTATGTACTGTCAGTATGAGAAGCAGAACTTCTTTTTCCTGTGTCGGTGCTATCCATTGTCTGGAAGCCATTTTCAGTGTCTGAAATATAGGCAAAAATAGTATTAATATATAATTTCCAATGTTACACTAAAACTGAAGCACAACTGGAAAATTAGCAATTTTACTACTTCTTTATATGAATTCACTGCCTTGGTATGGTTGAGGTTCTAAATTTTAAGCGCTGAAGGGAAGAAAAACAGATAAAAATGGTGGTATACTGGAATAATAATGACAGTTTAATAAAATGCTGACAGCATTTTATTCCTCCATTTCAGGGGTGAAAACTAGTCATAGGGTCAAAAATACTGATTTTACTGACCGAAATTCCAAAAAAATTGACAAATTACTGAACAATTTAATGTCAGCCTACTGATAAGCTAGCATTTTAAATGTAAAACTAGGACTTCATTAAAAATTATTATTATCTGACCTCCACCATCCCCATAGCCATCCCCAAAGTTAGATGTGACCCAGATAAAAGGATTGCACACCTTTTTATTGAATTTTTTAATAAATACAGGACAATGTTTTCATTGTTGTACAAAATGTAAGGCAAAAAAATTCCCTTTAAAAATAATCACATACTGCAGATAATAAAGCAGCAAAACAGCAAAAACATATTAAAAACCAAACATAAAGTAATAATTATGACAACAAAACATTATTACTGTAAAGTAAGACTTGTCTTTGCTTTTACTTTACCTTTGGTTCTTTGATGAAAAAAGAACCGTCCAGCAGCCTGCCATCCCTGGTGGAGGCCGTGTCGGGCTGGGCATTGGAACACCCTAGACTGATTGTCCTGCGTGATTTCAATGTCCATGCGGACGATGTGGCCTCCACTCAGACGATGGGCCTAGTGTCATCCGTGGTGGCGCTGGCACTCTCCCAATATGTAATGACTCCCATTCACTGGGCTGGACACATGCTTGATCTGACCTTCGCAGCAGGGGTCACAGTGGACTGGGTCATTGCCTCAGCAGTGCCATGGTTGGACCATCATGCCCTGAAGCCCATCTGAATGTTTCACCCCAACCCTGTTTGGGCAGCAAGCAGATTTCAGTTCACACGCGGAGCCAAATGGACCCTATATGGCTTCAAATGGCCCTGCGGGATCCGATGCCCCCTGGCAGCTCATTAGATGAGCTTGTGGAGGATTGGCACAGCTGACTCTCGGCAGCCATCAATGAGATTGCTTCCCGATGCACTCTGCACCCTCACTCTAGGCTGGCTTTTTGGTTTACCCAGGAGTTGCAGCTGATGAAACGAAGGCTAAGATGGCTAGAGAGACAGTAGCGGTGCGCCTGCGATGAAGCCACAAGAACATCTTATAGGACGTTTATGAGATCATATGAGATTGCAGTCAAAGCCACTGAGAGTATTATGCAGCCACGATTGCATCTGCGAGCTCATGCCCAGCCCAATTATTTAGAATAATTCAGTCTATGACTGTTCTGCCACAAGGCAGACCCAAATGTTAGAGAACTGGACCCTGGCTGTGACGCCTTTGTGAGCTACTTTGCAGATAAAGTCCTGTTGTTCCGCTGTGACCTCCCCACCACAGTTGAGACAGTAAGTGAACTTGAGGCTCCATGCACGTCTTCTAGTCAGGTTATGGATTACTTCAGTCCGCTCAGCCCGGAGGAAGTTGACAAACTGCTCTTGACTATAGTCTATATGCCCTACCACATGCTGCCTTGACCCGTGCCCATCATGGCTAATTAAAGCTGGCAGTGATGGGTTTTGAGATGCCCTAAGGGAGATTATCAACAAGGGACAGTTCCCTAGGGCACTCAAGGAAGCTGTGGTTCATCTCCTCCTGAAAAAGCCATCTCTGGATCTGGCCAAATTGGCTAATTACCGGCCGGTCTCCAATCTGTCCTATTTGGGCAATATATTTGAGAGGGCCATGGCAATTCAGCTACAGAACCTTTTGGATGACACTTCCATTCTAGATCCTTTCCAGTCTGGTTTCTGCCCAGGCCACGGGATGGAGACGGCACTGGTCACCCTCACAGATGACCTCCAGAGGCATCTGGATTAGGGTGGATTGGCAGTGATGTTGCTGTTGGACCTGTTGGCGGCGTTCGACACAGTCGACCACCAGTTACTAACCCACCACCTCACCGACACTGGAGTCCAGGGGCATGCCTTGCAATGGCTTGCTTCTTTCCTTCAGGGTTGGGGACAAAGGGTGGCACTAGGGGAGCTGCCATCCCAAAGGCACCCATTGATTTGTGGAGTGCCCCAAGGGGCGGTGCTGTCCCCAATGTTATTTAACATCTACATGCGCCCCCTTGCCCAGATTGCCTGGAGGCATGGGCTGGGATATCACCAGTATGCAGATGACACCCAGCTCTATCTGTTGTTGGGTGGCCAGTCTGACTCTACGAAAATCTAGACCAGGCGTTGCAAGCCGTGGCTGGTTGGCTCAGACTGAGCCAACTGAAATTGAATCTGACGAAGACGGAGGTCCTGTGCCTGAGCCAGGGCAGCCCGAGGGTAAGGATCCTACTTACGACCTTCGATGGGGAACCACTGGTGCCAGCACCAAAGGTTAGGAGCTTGGGAGTGCTCCTGGATGCCTCACTAACAATGGAGGCCCAGGTAGCAACCACTGCCATATCAGCCTTTTACCACCTGCGGCTGATTAGGCAGCTGGTTCCCTTCCTTGAATGCAACAACTTGGCGACAGTGATCCGTGTGATGGTCACCTTGAGATTGGACTACTGTAATGCTCTCTACATGGGGCTGCCCTTGACCCAAATCCAAAAGCTACAGCTAGTGCCAAATGCTGCAGCCAGGCTTTTGATGGGCCTCCCTATGCGGGAGCACATCCAGCCTGTACTGAAAGCACTGCACTGGCTGCTGACAGCATACCGAATTCGCTTCAAGGTGCTAGTACTTACCTTTAAAGTCATTTATGGTCAGGGGCCCACATACCTGAGGGAACGCCTTTCCCCACTCGTTCCCTAGAGAGCACTGCATTCAGGGTCACAAAATCAATTGGCCTCCCAGGTCTTATAGATGCCAGGCTGGCCACAACCAGAGCCAGGGCCTTCTCAGTGGTGGCTCCGTACTGGTGGAATGAGCTCCCAGAAGAGATCAGGACCTTTTACAGTTACGCAGGGCCTGCAAGATGGAGCTCTTCCACTAGGCCTTCGCCTAAGGAGCCGCACCAAATAACATCAGATAGCTGAGAAGTGACAGTGTCCTGGTCCTTGGCTTACCACCAACAGCCTGTGCTGTTGCCTAAATATAGAGACCAAGATGAGCCAACCACCAATATATATCATCTGATTACAACACTAGTATTGGTTCTGCCTTCTGTAAGCATTGCTTTAAGTACCCGATCGCTTACTAGTACTTTATGATAATGTAGAGTTTTATTTGTGTTAAGATAGTATATAATTTGTTACCTATATGTTTAATCTCTTTGTAAGCCGCCCTGAACCTGCTCCAGCGGGGAGGGCCGGGTATAAATTGAATAAATAAATAAAGTTATTCACAAACTCTTTCGTTTTTCAACAGTTTTCAGCACTGCATCCACAAGCATTTTTTCCCCTTGTCCTCTTCTTCCATCGCTTTCTCAACTCCTTCTAGCGTGAGATGTGCCATGTTGAATCCCACAATAGCCATCACCTCTACTTTCATTGTCTCATGTTTTAAGAGGTGAATTGTGTTTCTATACCTTGTGGAAGATTTCACCAAATCACTTTTACTCTTAGGAACAAAGTCCTTAAAGAACTTCATAACTAAACTGAAAACAATCTGTCTTCTCACTGGGAAGTCATCATGTTTCCCCAAAAATGCAGTAATGAAAATGGAAAAACACAAACTGCATTCACAAAAATCAAAGAAATACTGACTTTACTGACCGATTTTTTAAAACACTGACAAATTACTCACCAAGATGAAAAAACTGACTTTTACTGATTTTACTGACCATTTCCCACTCCTGCATTTGTATGTCATAAGGATCTACAGATAG